AAACTTCCAGTAAATTCCAGTTTTCCTCATTGTGCAGTGAGCTCTGTTGTACTTTGGTCTGGGATTCTGTTTAGTCACTTGTGTAACATGCCACATGGCCGCCTCTGGCCTAGGAACCAGGAACAGCCGGAGCCTGGAACGCTCAAGTAAAAATGACATATTTGTTAGCTGCAGAGTGAGAAGTCTGGATTCCTGCTCTGTTTCTTGCAAAGCAAACTTCTCAGTTTGTTGAATACTAAGTTTTCCCGTTAGCTGTCAGAGTGGTTTATAACTAAAATAATCTTACATCCTTTAGAATAAACACAAATAATGAATAGCCAAACCTTTTCTAGTCTGTGCCTTTAATACTAAAAACAGAATTCATTTGAACTTACACAAAGCATGAATATGTCACTCACTTCCTCTCGAAATGTGTGCCCTCTCACTGTGTCATCTGAACTCTAAAGTTCGGTGCTCTTAGGAACATTGCACTAAAGAATGTCTACAGAGACTTTTCTGTTAGACTCCCACTGTCTGTGCTTCCCTCCTGAAGACCCTTATCACACTTCCTCTTAAGTGCCTGCTGACTTGCCTGTGTCCTTGGCTGCAAGACAAAGACTGTCTCTTACTGAGCTTCATATCTTCGTATGTGGCACAGGGCCTCATACAGCATAGGCACTTAATAATATTTGGGGGGAAGAGGGCTGAGGGTGGGTAGCTCAGTGGTAGAACACTGTCTAGCATATGCAAGGCCCTGGGTTCCATCCCTACTGTCACACACACAAAAAAAAAAATTGTAGAAGAGAGAAAAAAAGCTAGTTCTTTGAGGGATGGATACAGTTGGTCTGAAATAGAAGGGTGGTCTCAGGAACTGAAAAGCTGAGCAATCTTTTAGCACAAGGTGAATAATGGAAGAGATCAGGGGTCTTTCATCCTTTGGCATTAATACCAGTGAGCTTAAGTGGGAACAGAAAGTTATTTTTCTCCTCTTCTTCTTCTTCTTCTTCATCATCATCATCCTCTTCTTCTCTTGCCCCCACCCCCAACCCTCCCAACATTTTGCCAAGGCTGGGCTTAAATTCTGTGCTCAAGCAGTTTTCACCCATCTCAGCCTCTCAAGTAGCTGGGACTCCAGCTCTTCCTCCCCCATGATACACATAACACATGTTCACTATTGAAACTGTGTTATCTCTAATTCTGCCACCAGAGGCAGTCACTGTTAACATTTAGTGTTTTTCAGTCTTAGGTAAGTTTTAGATGTTTAGTTACATTTAGCTTTCTTAACATTTGGATTGAAAAGTTAAAAAAAAAAGATTAAATCGGAACTGCTTGTACAAAGAAAGTAAATTACAATTGGAAAAATACGTCAACTGCAGTGAAAACTTGAGGTACTTTAAAATTTTCTATTTTTTGCATATGTATGTTTGTATGTGGTGTGCTTGTGTGTGTGTGTATGTGTGTGTGTATGTGTGTGTGTGTGTGTGTGTGTGTGTACCAGAGTTTGGCATCAGGCATCAGGTGCTTCCTTGATTGTTCTCCACTTCATTTGAGAAGGCAGGGTCTTGTACTGAACCCTGAGCTTGCTGATTCAGCTAGTCTAGTTACTCATATTGGCCTGGAAATCTCATCTCCGCCTTCCCAAGCTCTGGTGTTGCAGGCAGGACCCCATGCCTACCCTGCTTTCTATGTCGGTTCTGGGATCAGAACTTTAGTTCTTACACTTACATGGCAAGTGCTTTATTAATACTGAGTCATCTACCTAGCCCTTGATGTATTTTAAAGAAATCTATTTATTTCTATTACATTATATGTATGAGTGATTTGTCTGCATTTATGTAAGTGCACCCATGTTTGCAGTGCCTGTGGAGGCCAGAAGAGGGCATGAGAACCCCTGGAACTGGAGTGAAGGACAGTTGTTAGCCATGTGGGTCTTGGGAACCAAACTGGGTTCTCTGCAAGAGCAGCCAGTGTTCTTAACTGCTAAGACCCTTGAGGTCAACTCCTTAGAGATCTTCTATCTTTTCCAGGTAGATGAGAGGTCTCTCCTTTCTCACCCCCACCGTGTGTGTGAGCACTTTGATCTTCCCAGGAGTGAATTCTGCCAGCCTCACAGAACAAGGATGGCTCAGGACTGATCTGAGCTAAAGGGCAGTCAATACCCAGATGGATTTCCCTCAGCTTATGAAATGTCACTCAGATAACATCACCTCTGAAAGAAAGCAACACCATTGTAGTTTATTCTTTATTTTAGCCCCTTTCTGTATGTGCGTAGTTTAGCTAGACATCAGACTAAAAATAAAATGATGGTCCTTGCAGCTCCGTGAGAGAAGAAGATATACCAAGGAGAATTATAATTCATTCTGATAAATGCAGCACTGGAAGTGCACTGCTGACCTAAAGATGAAAATTGATCAGAGAGGGAAAGTGTCGAGAAGAGGAGATGATGAGTCTTAGTGGAAAAGTGGGAGGTCTTTATGCCTCAGGCAGAGAGATCAGCATGTCAGTGTCTGAAGACATGAAGACACATACCTCTTAGAGGGAAATACTAGTTTGGTGTATCTGGAACATGGGATATTTTAGAGGAACAAATGAGCCAAAATTGTGACGAACTTAAATATTAGAGCTTGAACTTTGTTTTCCAGGCCACAGGGAGTCACAGAAGGTTTTGGGGTTGGTTTGTGTGGTGCCCAGGACCTTGTGCATACTAAGCCAGTGCTATTCCACTTAGCTATATCCCCAACCCCCATAGAAGGGGTTTAATCGAGAGTAGTTGGACAATCTAGTATACTTTTTTGGACAACTCAGTATAAAGGATGGACAGAAATAAGCTAACTTGGAAGCAAGAAAGCAAATGATTTAAACAGGGAGTAACTTACAGAGGCCTTGGACTGAAGGTGGGAGCTAGAATGGACTGTGGGAGCATGAAGGAATCTTTTGAGATAGTACAAATGTAAATTTTCTGAGAATCAGTGTTTATACTTAAAATGGGTGCATTTTGAAGTCTGTACATTATACCTTAATATATTTCTTTTAATAAGAAGGGAATGGGACTGGAGTGATGGCTTAGCAGTTAGAAGTGCACACTGCTCTTGCAGAGGACCTCAGTTCAGTCCCCAGCACCCGAGTTTGGCAGGTCACAATTGCCTGTAAATCAAGCTCCGGGAGATCTGATTCCCTCTTCTAGGCTCCATGGGCACCTGCACTCACACACACACATTCCCATACATAGACTTAATTTTTTTTAATGTAAAAACAAAAGGAGAGGTACACTCTTCACTAAGAGGAAACAGATGTGAAAAATGTTGACAAAGGAGCAAAACTTATAAGGTAAGATGGTCAGCTGGTCATCGACGGACCTAATGGTGCTTCTACATTTTTAGAAAGATAAATCAGCTATGTCTTTTTATTGGTGGGTTTCAAAGCATGTGAATCTAGCCTTAATTTTAGAGACTAAGATACTGCAGAGTGTGTGTCCCTATATAGGACTCCTATATTAAACCTCACCTACCCACTATTTAGGAACCATTATGGAAGAGGGGACAGAAAGATTGTAAGAGCTGGGGTCGGTGCATGAACATAAGAAAACAGGCTTTCAGGTCATTGGAAACTTGTTCATATGAACTTGCAACAATGGTGACAGCATGCATAAGACCCATGCCAACTGAGACAAAAACCCAGCATAGAAAGAGGGAAATGGGCAGCAGGCCCCAACCCTAGCCAAAGAACTATTGGCAATTGATTACTGCTGGTTGAGAGAGAGTAGATCTTCAAGGGAGAGACTCTATATAGGCTGACTAGACTCCAGTGGATGAACTTGCACCGAGGGACATCTGGGTACAAATGCTTGACTAGATAGGACTTTACATATGTGACAGAATGCATGAAATCCAGTGGGGAGGGGTATGCAGTTGAAGGAAGGGATCTAAGTTTGATTAAGATCTATTAATGAAATGCACAAAACTCAATAAAATATTTTTTAAAAAAGAAACAGAAGAAACAGACTTCAATACCTCACAGTATCTTCTCCGTTAAGATAGAGTCACAAAATTCCCTCTGATGACTCTATAGCAGTTGCTTGTATTTTGGTCTTTGAGTTGCTGTGAAGCGCCAGGTTCCCTCTTCCTTCAGGTCTCTCTCGGTGGGGCCTTCTCTCTGCCTGGGCTGCCCACTGCATTCTCATTAGGCCTAGGGTCAGCTTCTTCAGTGAAGTGCCTTCACTCTAGTTCCTAACATAAATAGTAATCTCTTCTGATTTTTATCTGTTTCTAGTTAATGAATTTGCTCTTTGATAACTTTTCTCTCCTAGACTAAAGGCAAGGAGTTCATGTGGGTAGAAACTCTGTTTTTGTTCTTGTTCCTTATTGCTGTATCTTGATGTCACAATATAGTATCTCTACATAGTAGATGCCCAATAAACATTTCCTGAATATATGAATGAATGGAAGAGTGAATGCATTGTGGGCACCGAGTCTTGGAGCTGTTCTTTTTCTCCATTTGCTTTGGCTGCTTGGGAGCTCATGCCTTCCTTGATTCTGCCTGGTGATGTTCGCAGAGGTCTTCCTGGCATGCATTTTGTGCACTAACATTTCCCGCTATATAATACTTTTCTTTTCTTTGACTTCTTCACTTTCTTATTCCACATATGCTATGATTTTTTATTTATTTATTTTTTTGGTCTTTTTGAGACAGGGTCTCCCTGTAGCCCCAGCTATCCTGGAACTTACTATATAGACCAGGCTGGCCTTGAACTCACAGAGATCCGCCTGCCTCTGCCTCTGCTGGGATTAAAGGCGTGCGCCATCATGCCCGGCATGCTATTAATTATTATAGGCCTCTTTCAAATTTTTTTCTTGGGGTCGGGTAGAAATAGTAAACAATTAAATCTGTGAGTAGAAGAAAGGGAGAGGCCAAAGGGGAAATGTTAGTGCTTTTAATCTGGAGGTGCAGGGTTGGGTGGAGCCGGCAGGAGCTTGTTGTGTTACTGAAGAAGAAAGAAATGAACTTGTCCTCTTGTGTTGCAGATTCAGTGGTTCTTTCCTTTGACTCCGCTGGACAAACACTAGGCTCAGGTACCAATTCTTCCCCCTCTATCATTTTTTTCAGCCTGAAATACTGGCCATATTTATAGTGGAGCCTCATGAGGTGGGGATACTGGGGGAGGGTGAGAGACTCTCAGAATTGTGGGAGAGTCTCCAGGAGCCTTTCTAGGGCCTCATCATGGAAGGAGCAGAAGGACGCAGAGCACAAAGCACTTTCCCAGTTGTTCTCAAAGTGTGCGCTGATGAATTGCAGCCGGGTTCTTGTGAAAGGATGTCTGCTTTCTGAGCATATGTCCTATCTCAGTGTGGGTCAGAGGGCACTGAAAGGTCACAAGTTGTGGGCATGATAAACATCAGGGCTCTCCTGCAGAATGCCAGGCTGTTAGAGCTCCCCAGCTTCTCACGGGCACGCCTTCTGTTGTGCATTTATTTATATACAACCCATGTGTTCAGGTACAGACTTCCAGGAGAGGAGTCCTACTCCTTTTGTGCCAGGGACAAGCAGCTACATTCCCTTCCTTTTCTGTGCTCATAGTGTAGGACACACAGATTGGCATAATGCCCTTTGACTCAAGCTCACTGAGGACGGGAGGTGGTTGTCCCACCCGAGGCAATCTATTGCCGCATTCCTCAGTGCTTGTTTGCAAAGAGCAGGAAGAGTGGGTGCTTGGATGCCTCAGCTTGCTGCCCTTAGGGGAGCTCAAAACAACATTGCCCTCGGGAAAGGGTAAAGATGATCCACTTCAGAGCAAGGATGCCCAATCCCCCTGAATACCAGGGAGACTTGGCTTCCTCAAACATGATTGATTCATATTCATGAGGTTCGGGAAATTGTGGGAGGGTAGACAACAGGAAAGATGTTCCCAGAATCCAATCCTAGCCACTATTGGGAACGCTTGCTTGGCCAGCACTGTGCTGGGAGCTTCATGTACCTCTTCACTCAGTTACCTGTCCCTCACATTAGCTTTGATTTCCTTAATTGTACTGAGACACCTGAAGTGACCAGGTCAGGGCCCATCCAGCCCCTCCAACTCTACAGCCCACACGCTCCCCTTTCCATGCTACTGTCTCATGCCTTGTATGCTTGGGGTGCCTTCGCCACAGGCTGAGGCAGGAAAAGCCACTCAGCACAGTGGATGGACAGGAAGAGTTCTTTTTGTTTTTAATTATTTATTTAATAACCACATACTTGAAAGAAGCATTTCATTACAACAACATTGACATATTCAGTAACAGTTTTCTGAGCTAAGATGCATCTCTTTCAAAATTGGCTGTAAATTTTTAGGTTTACAGTTGAATTATTACAGTTACACAATATTGTACTGAGTATAAACCCTATAAGACATAAAATTAAATGAGGTTTTAACCTTTAGAAAAGATCTCCATTTCATTACTAAAATACACAGTTTCATACAGAAAAATTCATTTTTAAAGCGATTGACATTAAGATGTTTGTACATGTGTTTCTAATCTCTGTATATCTGATTATTACTAGTCACAGTCAGTTACTTTCTGAGCACCTTGACATCTGAGCATGGATATAAAGTCGTCAAGTAGATGTCAATGGTAATGTTTTTCGCATCTACTCATTATTAAGGAGCAAATTTTTATACTTTGAAGAATTATTATTTTTAATTTTTAATAACTACATGATTAGAAGAAGCATTTCATTATAGCTTTAACATATTCAGTAACACACTCCAGAGCAAGAATACATCTCTTTCACAAGTGGCTGTAAATTTCGAGGTTCACAGTTGAATTAATACAGTTATAAATATTGAACTCAGTATAAGCCCTGTAAGACATAAAATTGAATGAGTTTTTAACCTTTAAAAAAGATCTCCATTTCATTTTAGAATATACTCTTCCTTGCAGAAAGACTCATTGTTTTTGCTACTAATACTGAGATGTTGGTGCATTCATCTCTAATCTATATGTATCTGATTATTACTAATCATAATCGGTTGCACTTGGATCCTTGGTGCCTATGTATGTCTATAAAGTCATCAGGTAGATTTCAGTGGTAATGTTTATCACCTCTGCTACTTAGCATGACGTAAATTTCCATGCTTCCTCCTTAGATATAATACATTTTTAAAAATTTGTTCTTTTTTTTGTGTGTGTGTGTATATCACACAGAACATCCCAAACCATCTTACTCAACTATACACCCACTTCCCAGACGGCACCCTCCCATAGCCTCCTTCCCCCCATTAGAGCCCTTATACTCTGATATCCCTGCTACTGTCTGCTGTGTTGTCGGCACCCCCAGCCATTCCCCACTGCTTGCCCTTCTGGTGAATCTAGTCAGCCTATCTAGAGGCCTTTGTTATAGGAGGGTCAGCTGTTCCTCATCTAGCAGCAATCAGTTGTCAGTATTCCTTTAGATAAGATTGGGGTCTGCTGTTCATTTTCCCAGTTCTATACCGGGTTACTATCTGGGAGTCCCTCGGGCCACCCTGGACAACAACTCAAAAGAAGGTATCTTCTATCTGGCATTGTTGCTTGTTATGTAGCCTTTAGCTATGCACATGGACTCTTAAGAAATTATATTGGCCCCTTTAATATTTGGTTATACTTTCCCTTTGAGTGTTTAAGGCCATACAGTTGGCCCAGATAAACCAATTTATTTTTACTCTTAAGGTTGTTTGAGGACCTGTTCCTCAGGGGTCATATGGGCTTGGGAGGGGCCCCAGACTTTCTTTTACCAGTTCCACCTATGTGTAGATAAGTCAAAGGTCCTACTTGACCATGGTTGGCTTCACTTGGAAGCATGAAGGAAATGTTTCCTCTGTGTTGACCCTCCTCTTTGTAGACTGGACACTGGTTCAAGTCCATCTGGTGGGGTCTCCTTGGCCTCCTTGATCAAGAGGCCAGGTGACCCACGACAATTACAGGACATTTTGAGAGATGCTTATGGTCCCCTGGAACTAGTCGACCTAGGATGGCAAGGAGCAAAAACTGTCCTTTATGTCCCTCATAGACTTTATAGCTGAATAGGAACATTGGTTGGTTTTTTTCCCTTGGCAGCTTGCATAGTATCTTCTAATACTATGAGCTGGTCTTCAGGGAGAAGGTTTCCAGGTTAGTTCCAGCTCCATTGGTCCAAGTCATGTCCAAAATATGGCCTGTCTTCAGCAATAGCATCTTGCCTTCAAGTTCTGGAAAGCAATTAAGGGCTGTGGCAATGGCCTGTGTTAATCTGGGTGTCTCTTGGACTACCCTGACCAACAACACGAAGTTTTCCCATACCTGGCACTGTGATTCTTTTAAATAGCCATCAGTTACCTACACATATACACACACTCAGTAGACTTTTTAAATACCAAATTTCTACCCCTGTAAAACACTCCTTCCCCATTTTCTCCATTTCTCCCTTGATAACTCCTGTTTCCTACTATCTTCCTTTCTTGGGCTCCTCTTTCCCCATTACTCCCATGGTTCCTTTCCATTTTCCTGGCTCCTGTGGTTACATCAGGATATACACTCACATCTAAGGATTTGGAGTTAGGATCCACAAATCAGAGAGAACATGCATCACTTTCCTGAGTCTGTTACTTCACTTCAGTATAACAGTTTCTAGTTCCATCCATTTACCTGCAAATTTCATGATTTCCTCTTTCTTTATGCTGAGTAAACTCCATCAGTATAAATGAACCCTATTTTCATTATCCACTTGTCAACTGAGGGACACTTAGGTTGTTTCCATCTCTTAGCTATTGTGAAAAGTGCAGCAACAAACATGGA